ACAAGTTACAAGTGTTATCTATTGTCTCTGTAGGAAGGTGACGTTTTTCCCATCGTCTCTGTTTTACCTTAAGACTTAAGGTCGTCTGTTTTTATAGGATATGAAAGAATGATTTTATAGAGGGGCTATAGGTTCAAAGCTAGGATACATTGCAGTGTGGGAGAAACCCTTCAGCTGGGCCAGATGTCTTTGCTCTCACACACACTGCTTAATTCTTCTTTAATATTGCGAGGGCAGTATATTCAATAAAACACGGATTGGGTTAATTAGAGTTTAATGCAATATAGATTTACTCAGTAAACTGAGCTGGTCCAGGGAGCAGCTAACCTATCTCTGGTGTGTCTTTGCTTCCATCCCATTGCACACTCCTCCTGTTGTGGGCCTTAGGTTAAGCCCCACCTATCCTGATCCCATTCTGCCTTCTTTTGACACCATTATTTATATAAGTAATATATAAGTCCGATATAGCAGGTGTATTAAAGATTCCTTTTTATTTATTTTAAAGGGCATTTAGCAAGTCTGCTCCACACTCCTGAGCAGAGGGGGCGGTAATGCACCAATAAGCTTGATGCGCACTGCCGTAAAACAAGGAGAAGAAGAAGAAGTAGTTAGTTACCTCCCTCCCGTCCTCTTCCCGCTACACGGGTCGGTGTTTAGGGAGCGATGGCAGCGCCAGGAGACCGCGGGGTCCCGCTCAGTACGGTGAGTTCAATTTACTCCTTTTATTGAGTTTTAAGACATTTTTTTTCAGACAGTTTACTCTGTGACGTCGTTTTAGGTCCACACATGACACCAGTTCACGTGAACTCGTGAGCGGGTCTCGTCTGTTAATGTGGACAGTAAGAGTAAATATATGGTAAATATGTGGCTGATACAGCTGTGTGGAGTCTGTAGCGCTGTGTACAGGTGTGGCTTCATATTGCTAGCAGCACTGTCTTCCTGCAAACCACTTCACATCACGGGTTTGATGAAGGCTATAAGGGTGGCTTCCGGTTTTCTTGTTAACTATTAGTGTCTCTTTTAATTAATATTAATAATATTAATATTAATGTCGTTACTCCGCTTAAAAACACTTGGACAGATACTGTGTGTGCAGTTTGTATTTAAGAAACAAACGCTGGAAGTTTCAAATAGGCTATGGAATGTCAAAACGAAAGCTAAGTGTTTCCACCAAAGCTGTGATGCTATTTATATTTGTTTCCTCTGTTTATTATGACACTGTGGGATAAAACAAATGTCTCAAACTTTACATTACGGTACACTTAATTGTGAGTAGTTACTCAGGAGCGGGAAGGACCTGGTAATTAATGATTTGTTAATAGGGAGTTTGTGAATGAGCAAGTTATATATTAACGGTGGATAATAAATAAAAGAACTGATTGAGAAATACTATAATAATCATAATAACAATATAAATAATAATAATAATGTACCTGTAAGAGTTAATGATTCCATGGGGTTGTTCCTCACTCGTTCCTTAGTAAATATTTTGTGTGCCTGTATTGGAAAGTATTAATGTCAACACACAATATCAAGTGTCAATGCTGCACTGCTGTTGTCACATTCATGTCTCTGTGCAGACCCTGTAACACATGGGCTGTAAGAGGCATGCAAATGTTGATGGGGGCGTCCCGGGACCTTTTTTGCATTTCATTCCACTTCTTCTTTTTCCATCTCTAGCCCAAAATAAGAAGCCGCTGTGCACAATGCATTCATTATTACACTGGTAGGACTAAGAAATACAATGTGTGTCTGTGTTGTTGTTTTTTTGAGAGCCAACAATAAATAAGAAAAAGAAGACAAATTAAGCTTATTCTGTAGACTCTTTAGAAAGTTTTACATTGTTAGGTCAGTGCCATGTACAAAGGCACATGTGCAGTTTAGTTTTTATAGTTAAAATATAAAATATTTTTTTAAAATTGCACACCATTGTACTATTAACATTGTATATTTTTCATTTATACTTCATCTAATCATATTTTGGAATATTCTTATTTGTGATAAGTGTATCTTATGTTATAACCCTCATTCTCTGCTTTAGAAAACTAGAAATACACATTATGTGTCTGCAAACAAACAGATACAACACACTGATCTGTTGGTGACTAAGACCCCGTTCAGACTGCAGGCAAAAGTGGCCCTAATCTGAATTTTTTGGGGTCAAGTGACCCAGGTCAGACTTCTCGCAGAAGTAGTGTGAACACTGCAAATCCAGCCAGATCCCAGATTTTTTCAAATCAGATTTAGGCCACTTCCATATGTGGTCCTGAATCAGACCCAGGTCTGATTTTTTTCAATGCGGCCGCAGTGTGAACAACCAAGGCGGATTTGATGCGACTTTTACGTCAATCTACATCGACATTTGTCAGCAATTTAGCACCCTTCCCACCACTCCTGGCTTCGTCTCCGCATCCACACAGACCTCTGTAGTGAATTTGCAGCCATAACCCTGCAAAAGGCCAAAATAGCCAATTTGGCTCTCTTTCTCTTCATTCTTCTCCTCCTCAGCACCTGCTCATTAATGTTACGGCTGCCATTACACAAACATTTTGAAATAAAAGCGATAATGCTTAGTTCCTCCGTAACCTCCCTAACTTAAGTGCAACAGCGTGCTGCGTGTGATGTCATTGTTCTTGTTCTTTTGCACATGCGGGTCAGTTCGAAACCGCAAACAGTTCACACTGGAATCTGATATAGGCCACATTTTAAAAGGTAATGTGAGCCAGCCAAACAAAAAAAATCAGATCTGAGCAAAAAATCAGAATTGAGCATTAAGACTTGCGGTGGGAACGTAACCTAATATCTCCTAAATTATCTGTGTGCTCAAACCGAGTCTTAACACTTAATGTGTATGGCATCTATTGTCAGCATTTTGATGCACTTAAGACCAAAGACTCCTCGTCTGAACTTGAAGAGACGTAGGTATGTAAATGAGGCCACTTTGGAAAACAAATTGTGTCATTCTGATTTGCTTTATTTGCAGCTTTGTCCCAAGTTTCTACATACTAACTCCACCAGCCACACCTGGCCCTTCAGTGCAATAGCTGAGCTCATAGGTGAGTCATCACACTGTTGTATTCAGCTGTTTTTTACTACATGCTTGTGATGTCCACGGGTTGATTGATTGCCCACTTGCCCGTGGGGAAAAAACTCTTTATCTTTATCCATTTATGTCTTTATCCATTTACCGTTTACACAGAAAGAGGTGGGGCGGGCAAGCTGGTGCGTGTGACCTAATTACTAGCGAGTTACTAGCTGCACTTTTTGCATTGAAAATAACCTTTGGAATTTAAAAGCAAAACCTGAACAAAAAAACAAAACAGTCAACCACTTTCAAAATTAAATAAGATTGTAAGTGCATGGTTATGAAAGTAAACGAGCATGAAACCTTCATTCACTCACTTGTTTTAAGTTCCCCCTACGAAACTGTTTCTTTTGACAGACAATGCCTATGATCCAGATGTCAGTGCCAAACAGTTCTGGATTGATAAGACTGTGGTCAAAGGAGAAGAATGCCTCAGCTTTATGGATAATGGAAATGGACTGGACCATGAAACGATGCATAAGATGCTCAGGTACGGACACTGCTGCTGGTTATTTTTTGGGGGAAATGATGGAGAAATATGTTTGATAGTCTCTCCACCGTCAGCATTCTTGGAACTGGAACTGTCATTTTTATTTTGAATATTAGTTTGTTACGGCCTCCATAAATAAACAAGGCTCTGTTAGAGATAGAAACACATTAAGGACGCCAACACAAAGATCATGAGGAAAACCCACGTGCTTTTTATTTTTTCTGAAATCACCCCGACCCAAAATCAAACACTCTAGATTGCGCTGGGGAAAAAAAACAATTTGGGCAAGCCAGATCCTTTCTCTTCTCCCTGATGGATTATTAGTTTCAGGTGTTCTGCTCCCCAGGTAGAGAGAGAGCCCCAGAGAGCAAGGCTGAGTGAGAGAGAGAAAACTACCGCTGTGTATGTGGAGCAACACGTATATTTGTTGTTCAGAACTTATTGGTGTCTAACCCTAACCCTAACCCAGCGATGACTTTGTATGAACCGTGATGACGTGATGTGTCACTTACTAACTACAGAATGTACGTGTTTCCCTCTCAAGCTTTGGATACAGTGACAAGATCGCCGTGAATGGTTTAGAGCCGATTGGCATCTATGGCAACGGTTTCAAGTCTGGGTCCATGAGTCTCGGCAAAGATGCCATCGTCTTCTCCAACTCAAAGAGCGTCTCGTGCATCGGGATGCTCTCTCAGACCTACCTGGAAAAGATTGAGGCTAAGCAAATAATTGTACCTATTGTTTGCTTTGAACGGAGAGAATCTAACGAGTATATCCTTTTACCTACTGCGTTAAGGCATATAGAATCATGGCAATGAATAAGATGTAAATATCTTCTTGATTCACTGGCATCATTAAATTATCATGTTTTTCCAACTGAACTGGGAACAGGAGGACTCCAGTGATGTTTGGGGGCAACATATTCAAATTATTTGATTCTTCTTTCTTTTTAATTTAGTCTCTTAATGTAAAAAAGGGCCCTTGTGTAGTTATTTATTTTTCCAAAGTACTTCATTTGGGCTTGATAAAAATCCTTAACTCGAGCTTTACTCAGTGTAAGAGAGGAGCACAAAGCCAGTCTGGAGGACATCCTACGCTATTCCCCTTTCGAGACGCAGGAAGAACTGCTCCTCGAGATCGATGCCATCAGTTCCACCTATTCCACACGGAAAACTGGCACACGGATCATCATCTGGAACCTCCGCAGGTCTGTGTAGGCCACACGTGCAAAGATGTATGTTTTATTTCTTGCTGGAACGACAGGATTAGATTTTTCTGTTTTGTTTTCAACAGCACATCTACCGGAACGACAGAGTTTGATTTTAAGAAGGACCGTTACGATATTCAAATTCCATCTGATATGTACGAGGGAATAAACAACCCATCTCGACATTCAGGGGTGACATCATGCATCCCTGAGAGTGATTACTCACTGCGGGTAAGGGGCAGTAATACACACGTCTTCATTCTTAATGATTCTGTTACACTTAAGACCATTTACTTGTTAAACGTACTTTTATCTGAGTTTGAACATTGTTGAAAACATTCGGGATAATGTAAGCACACAACTCAACAAAATATGTAACATAAACTAGTGTTTTTAGACAGAACTGTTAAATATATCTAAAGCAAGTTCCATAATGTTACATATACAGGCATCAAAACTTTACATTTCATTACAAGTCCTCCTCCACTCAGAAATGTGCAACAATAATAAACAACTTACAAGTGTCATGTGTAAACCTGAAGCCTCCATCGCACATACACAGACATCTTGCAGTTAAACAGCAGTCAAACATTTTGAAATGAACAATATTTAAACACTTCGAATACGATTATTAATACGATTCTGTATTTTTTAATGAGCGCTAAATAGTAGATGTAGTTTTAAGAATGTAAGAAGTAATTAAGCTTTTTTATTAAAAAACCTTATCAGGCACAAATTATTCCAGGCTGATCGTCTTTTGTGCATCTTAAAACAAATCTGAAGTGTATCTGTAATTAAAATAGTCTAGTCTAATCATATATTTATTATAAATATATATATATTTATATTTCTATTGTTAGTGAAGCTGAACCATTTGTTTTATGTGAAATTGTGGCTCTGTATTTGTGTGTCTCCATGAGAAAAATGCCATATATATTGACTCTGTTTAATGGGCGTAGGCATATTGCAGTATTCTCTACCTGAAGCCTCGGATGCAGATCATCATACGTGGTCAAAAGGTGAAATCTCAGCTCATTGCTAAGAGTCTGGCCTACATCAGAAAGGACCACTACAAGCCCACTTTCGTGGTATCCTTTCCCCACAGGACCTATTAAGCCATGCCTTTTCTCTTTACTTTCAAATATATGTTGAGTATTGGTTATTAATTTGAGACATTTTGTATGTGCACAGAAAGTTTTCCTTAAATGTTTTTTCAGCCGAAACGCGTTACTATCACTTTTGGTTATAACACCAAAAGTAAAGACCAGTATGGCATTATGATGTATCACAAGAATCGGCTCATCAAAGCCTACGAACATGTGGGCTGCCAGCTTAAGGTGAGTTTCTGTTGTTTTGGTGAGTGTGTTTGTATATTACACATAGTGTATTTCTCAAGGTCTCTAAATGTTATCATCTGGTGTTGATCTCTTATGAATCTTTGCCTTCCACAGGCCAACAACAAAGGTGTTGGCGTCATTGGGGTCATAGAGTGTAACTTCCTGGATCCTACCCACAACAAGCAGAGCTTTATAGAGACAGATAAGTACAGGTAGGAGCACAGATAATGCATTCAGTTTTGATCACATTTGTCTAAGTATAGTCCAAATGAAATTGTGTTTGGATATTTCACACTAAATATATGTTTATATTCTTGATTATATTATGATTTATCACCATGGGGACAGAAATGCAGTTCTTCATGTCTCGATACAGGAAAACTATCAACAGTTTGGGGGTCAAATTGGAGGAGTACTGGCAGGAAATCCGCTACAAGAGAAACGCAGAGGATCCGAACAGCTTACCAGTGGAAGATGACACGTCAGTACATTTTGCAGTGACTGGCATGTATACTTGTCTAACCGTGTTGTCTACATGCTCTGATACGTGTCTCTATGTTCTCAGGAGGCGACCAGATCAAAACTGGGCGCAGTGTGATGAATGTCAGAAGTGGCGCAAACTCCCCGATGGGATCGACAGCAGCAAGCTGCCAGATAAGTGGTACTGCCGTATGAACCCGGATCCTCAGTTCAGGTAACCAGAGCATTATCGTAGCTGATGTGATTATTCCTATCCACAAATGTGCAAAATTTTACAGTGAAAGTATTGTAGAGCTACACATACATTTGTTACTGTTCTGTAAACACCATCTAAAATGAAATGTAGCATAATTTATAACAACGTTTAAACAGATACATAAATTCTTGAATTACAATTATTACACATACATATGACTCCCAAAAGTTGAGAATTTGATCTGAAGGTGTAAATTGACTCACAAATACAGATTGAACAAATGTATGGTTAGGCTCTGAAACTGTGTGTGCTAAAAATATTAAAATACTGTAAATGTGTTTTAACTATATGAAAACAAACCTAAATTCACAGCTATGTATTTTTTTAAATGATCCTACAGTTGTGTGTATGATAGATTTCAGAACACAAAAGTCATCTCATGTCTAATTTGGATTATCGTGATACAGATAATCAAACAAACTCGACCTGCTCGGCCACGATCGCATTAACATCACCTTGTGTATTTGTTAACCTTCGCCATCAAAGGAGTTTCTACTGTAGCCCAGAATAAAGTAACCAAACACTAACTCTAAATAGGGCTGTTTGTGTACTTTGTGGCCACCGTAGTTACTCCTTCTCTATGGAAGGGGAGGGTGAAACGAGGGAGTGGGAATCTGCAACTGCAATGCTCGATGAACAGCTCAACATGAAATAGGTCATTCGCCTGCCTCTTGCACATGTGATCATCCCTTTAATCATCAATATTCTGTCTGATTGCCAATTGGCACAAGCCTATCTTATACCAAAGGGACTCATAACTAGTGGCTGTTTTATATATATATATATATATATATATATATATGGCATATGTTGTATAAGCAGGCCCTGTCATTCTAATGGAAGTCTAACCAAAATGTAGCTCGGACTCAGTGGATGTTTGCTAATGTTTTTAATCTCTACCTTATTTCCACTGCCAGGAGCTGCCAGGTGGATGAAGAGTGCCAGGACTCTGAAGATGAGCAACCATATCAAAAGACCTATAAACAACAGTGAGTCCCATTTCACTTAAAAACACTACTACAGCTAGGGTGGGTGGAGGGTGAACCCAAGGAGAAAAGAGTATATGAAAATGTCAGACTTCTCACTTACAGTTAATCTGTGTCCTGCTTGTAACATGCTTTGAAGTTTGCTCAATAAACATATTTAAAAAAGAAAGAAACAAAAAAAAAACACTACTACTTTGCCCAAAAATGGAATTGATTGATTGCATTAAATAAGAATGCACGTTGTTGTATTAAGCTGCCAAAATGTTAACTTGGCATCAAAATTAAGTGACTTGCCTCTGTTATATATATATATATTTTTTTTTACAGAGAGAGGGAACAAAAAAAGAATCAAGAGATGAAAAGACAAAAGGTACGGACACATCGACTCCTGTAAATCAACTGCCATTTTCTCCCTGCTGTTGATGTTCTTGCAGAACCTCCTTGTAATTTAGAATCATTCTCTAATGGTACTGATCTCAGTTTCCAGTCCAATACATCCTGATTAATACCACTTTTGGGATTTATTTTTCTAGGAAGAGGAGGAGCGAAAGCGCCAGGAGGAGGAGCGTTTGGTGGAACTCCACAAGCAAAACCAGGCCCTTAAAAAGAAGCATAAAAATCTGAAACGGCAGCTGCTTAAAAAAGTATGTTTTCCCCTTGACACCCAGGGAGTGGTAACTAAAGTTAACACTAAATATAATGACAGTGTTAACAGGTGTTTTAATAAATACGTTGCGGCAGGTGGATATCATTTAGGAATCATTACAAATAAAAAAACATATCTCTCTTTTCTTTTTGTTGTTGTTTTTGACAGCCTGCCTCTACCCCCTCCACCCCTACTACACCAAGGAGTACGTTTAACACTGCTTCAACAAGAAGGGGAATCGCAAGGGGTGAATCCTCCACCGTTTCACCAGCAGGTAAGAAAAAGTTGCTCTTTCTGTGTGTGAGAGAAAGAACGACCGTGTAAAAGGTTGGAGAGATTCAAAAATGTTTGTTTTCTTTCTCTCTAGCTTGCAGCCCCTCCAGTAGCAGTGGTCTTCCAGTTATTTCTAATGTATGCTCGATGTCAACAGGCCCCCAGAGGTATGAGTTAGTGCTGTTTGTGATCTTAAATATATACATTTTATATATATAAGCATATTAAGTCTGCTTTGTGTGCACTGCAGGGGGAAAAGAACACAGCATGCTACTCCACAAGAAACGCCCAAAAGACCTAAAGTCAGTGGTTTAGAAGAGACAAAGTGGTTTCCAGATACATCCCCATCAATGGATGGTAGCTCACTGAGCCCCCCATCAGTGCCCGCTGCTGATGATGATGATGATACTGATGATGACATCTTCATCTTGGAGACTGGCAGTACCCCCAAGCCACAAAAAAGCTTTGATTTGGCTAAAGTGAAGACAGAAAAAGAGCAAAGTGACGCTGGCTTGCTGTTGGAGTGCAGCGACGAAGCTGCTCTGGATGCCGCCTCAAAGACGAACGCTGCAGGAACGGGCTGTGCAGAGTCTGCAGCTGTGGGAACCGCTCCCTCCCCAGCGCCCCCCGGAAAGGTGGCCAGCACCACCACCCAGACAGAATTAATCAAAGTGAAGGAAGAGGAGGACCAATATCAAACTGAAGGGAAGGAGAGAGAAGGGGGGAGTTCAGACATGGACTGTGTTGAGCAAGGAGTCGTTAAGCAAAAGAGCAGTGGAGACAGTCACGGTGAGAATCAAGGAAAGCAGAACTTGCAGAAGAAAGTGACAGATTATCAGGATAGTGAAGACGATGCTGGACCTTCCGGCGTAGATGCCATTGGTGCACAAAACTCTCTTCACCACCCGAGTATGATGGACGTACAGGAACAGCAAGACCAGCTCCTAGAGCTCATGCAGGCTACAGCTCAGGAGAGAGATTCCTTTAAAGAGCAGGTCCATAAACTAACCTGCCAACTTCAAGACGTGCAGAAGAGACTGCAGGAGCGCTCTCAGATCAATGTGAAGAAGGAGTGTTATCACCAGGCCTGCCAGACAGAGGAAACCGAAGGTGGGAAGGACTACAAAAGTCTGTTCGAGAAGGCCAAACAGAAAGTCGATGAATTGATTAAGGACAAAGAGGCTCAACTGGCAACCACTGAGACCAAGCCCGGTTCTGCCCCTGATGAGGAAGAGCACATTGATGAGATTGCACTGCAAGTCGACCGACTGGTCCGGCAGCTGGATCGAATTACCAAGGAGAGGGATGAACTGCGCTCACAGGTCAGTGTTGCAGTTGTATTTTGAGCTTAGAGTAAAAGAATGGTGATATTTTGTGTTTCTCTAATTGTCAGCAAATCTCCCCAAAAAACATGAGGTAGGTTGGAAAGGTACATTTTGTCAGTACTTTTGTGACTTCCACTGCCTGATGTCGTCTTTCACCCCAAGCCCCGTTCTTACTGAAGATGTACATTTTTAAAAACAAATGACAAATACATAAAAATAACTGAGCGCTGTAGTTTTTAGCTGTTTTTAGCACTAAAGCAGGAGTACATAGTGCTTTAGATAGGGACTAGTTTCATCTCTCTTTCGCTCTAGTGACAACACCATTTTTTGGGCTTTGAAACTTCAGTGAATACGACTTCTAACATAACGTCCCCCTCTCTCTCTGTCTGTGTTTTCTCTGCAAAATGGGTAAAATGGGTCGTTGGGCAGCACGTAAAGTCTGTGTGGTGTTCTGTATTCAAAACCAGAGCATTTGAATACTGATTTGGACATTGATTACAGTGGCAACGGTCGGAGCTTTGAAGCATTCGGGTTAGGCCTAGTATCTATGGCAGCAGGACAGTGTATGTGGGATTGAGTCCAAATAAAAGAAGTGGTTGCAGATTGCAGATAACTGAACACCACTTGCGTATGTATTTGGAGAACTGAAAATGAGAAGTGTGTAGGAGAAACTACAGAAAAACTAGGAGAGACTGCAAAAAACACAAAAGGGCCTGTCTACAGCTATTGTTTGGTTTGTCCATTCTGGGCTACTGTAAACATGTTGGTACAACATGGCGGACAATGGACGGAGACCTGCAGCATCTGTAAATAACTGCTAATTTTAAGGTAATGATAACACAACGTTGGCTTCATTGAAGTGATTATAAACTAATGTTAACATCCTCCTAAATGTTACACACTCGTAGCTTTTCAAAGCTTTTCACCACATTTCATGGTCTTCGTCAAGAATGGAGCTGGCTGTGGTGTCATCAAATGATCTCAGTGTGGAAGTGTGACATTCAGTTAAAAGCACTGAAAAGCTACATAGTGGATTTTTGAGCTAATATATTACAACATTATGATACTGTACAGGTTTTACTTGAATCTACCTCCAGAGGTAAAATATACCAATTTTACCTGGATGTTAGATATTCTGTGGGTACATTCAGCAATTTCTGTCTGTAAGTTTTGTTGATTTGTGGGTGCAGCATTCCTAACAGAAGGCATACTGGACCCAAATCCAGTTCTTTATTGAAAACCAAATTTAACTTTGGAAGTGCTTTTACCCAGGTGCATATAGGGAGTACAAAACTAATAACCTCCTTACTGCATTTAATAGACAGCTGATGTCTTTGGGTCCATCTTATTTCTGAGTTGATGTGGATGCAGCAACCTGAATTGTAGTTCCTTTCCTCTGTTACACTTGGATATGTTATTAGCATACTACCATAGTGTGGGAACCTAAAATGATTTATAGTCTGTAGTTTATAGTAGCTTATATTTCAACCTTAGTTGATCAAATGATATCATTCTGAGCTAAGATTATTTTGTTACATATGCCTTCAAGTCTTCTCCCTCTTTACATCCTCACACGGATTATGATAGATCAAACCTATATGGACAAGAGCTTTATTCCCTACAAATCCAACGTATCACCATATTATACATCAGCCATAACATTAGGACCATTATTATTACATTATTATTTTTTAGATTTTTGTTAACCTTTGTACCTTTTGTTTTGTTTTGTTGATGTTGACCTGTGTACCTTCCCTGCTTTATTCACTGTTGTTGCTCCTGGGGTTTACTGTGTGCGACGCCACCAGGTGGACAGTTTGGAGGAGGAAAGGGCAAACCTGGCATCCCAGTGTGAAGAGCTCAGGTTGAGCCTGCAGCAGCAGAGAGAAAATGCACAAAAGGGAAGCACAACTCCACACCGAGCCACTGATTCCACTGCACAAACAGATCCAGAGGAGGCAGGAGGGACCGGCATGGATTCAAGCTCAAATACATCCAGAAGGTTGGATTGTTAGAAAGTCTTTTTCCTTTCATGTTGTATGAATTATCGCTGTCTGACAAAGCCATTTATGAACTCAACAACCCAGCAGAACAACAGTGTAAATCTGATTTTCACTCTGTGTCTCTCCTCCCCTCAGTTTGATTGAGCTTCGACACAACATCGGGCGCCTTCTCATCTCCTTCGTGCCTGCTCTGGACCTGGGCCAAGTGAATTATGAATGTAATGTAATTGATGAGATCCTAGAACAGGTTTTGTTCGATGTGGAGTCCGTCGTACCGGTGGGTTGGAGCAATAAATAAATAAACAAATCATGAGATCCTGCAATTAGTGTCACATTATCTGTAAATAATAAATACAGATTCCTGTGAGTGTGGGACATGAAGTCATATTTATTTGAATGCATGTACATATTTACAGATTGTATATTGATACACATTAAATGTAAGTGTCTTTATCTTAACAGATGACAAATAATGTAAACAATATAATCACAGTGTACATAAATTAATGTTGTTAAGTTTCTAGGTAGAATCACAGTAATATTTTAATCATTGTTTGATATGTTGTTGATCAGTTCATTCCAGTCACAATTGACAATTTTGTTGGTTATTTTAAAAAGATCCTGATTCTGCATCTGCTTCTGTTTCTGTTTAACAATATCAACTTATTGTTTCCTCTTTGGTTTGTATTGAAGCATATTTTGTATTGATTGCTTTGAATATATTTTTATATTTCCTGAATCTTCTCTCTGAATAAATACTCTATGGAACATTGTTATTGGTGTTCTTGTGGATCTTTCTGATAGGGAAAACGTTATAGAAGAAGAAGTGATAGGAACAAACTTAACTGAAAGGGTTATCAAGAACCTCCATTAAGTCCTTAAACTGGTTGCGCTTGCTTGTGTAATGTATAATTGACAGGCACTATACAGGACTGCATTTGCATGGTGTATCTGCAGGCAAATAGTTCCTCCCCTCTGGGCTGAAAGGGTACATTGTCATCTCTATGTAGGAACTATTGCTATGGGAATTTTACAGGCTTGTAAAGGACACAGTTTGGGGTTGTGATGATTGGATTTTTTTTATTTTTACATTATGTTAATTTTTATTAAGGAAGCTTTATTAAGGTCAAGATACAATTTGCAAGAGAGACCTGAGAACAAATTTGCTTTATTTAAGCTCACAACTAGACGAGCAGACACAAAACAACCATCACACGCTAAAACACTCACAAATATTAGTAAGTAGAACTTTAAAGTTGATCAGAGGAATGTGTCTGTTGTCATGATTGCTCACTAGGAACTCAGCTAATGGTTAGATGGTGCATATCTTGGCAACTATACTTTAAATGAAAATGTATGTATGAATGTAAATGAAAAGATGTATGTGGGTTTCAGTTGTTACTGATGACCATTCTACAGTTTCATGTTACTCACTAGTGAGTGTAATAGTCGTCAAATCGAATGGTGCTTTGTGTTAAGTGTCCATGGTGGGCATTGGTGGCGGCAGCATAAGCATAAAGGATAAGTGAAGCTGGGGAAAAATGTCTCTGACTCCCAGACCATCAGCACCGGATCCCCCCAAGGC